GCAGCTAAAAATCTACTTCTACTATGGGTGGTAGTTCGAATCTAAGTAAGTCGTTCACTGGGAGGGATTCGATGAAACAGTTGTTGTTGTTGTAGCAGCAGAAAAGGAAATAATTGAGGAGCCACCACCATTCCTTGAGCACCATAGTTTATATCTCACGGAACTAATGCTATCATTCAACTTAACAACATAACTAAGTTACGCTACGTAACAGGGAGCTCACTTGGTAATCTGTGTGTTTTCTCCTATATAATTTTTCATAAAACCCTTACAAATTTGTTGCTGCGGCTAAAGTCAGTTTCGACTATGTCCCCTGATTCCCCCCGAGATGTTTCAACCTTAGCTTTGCAAAGACTGCACAATGAAGTAGAAAGTGCCTGGAAAGTACCATATCGCCTTTCTTCATTCTGTAACGACTGGATGCTTGTACGCCTATCATACAATGCTAGTAAGAACTTAAGAAATGGCACAATAGACCTTAGGTCGCGGTACAATCATCATCTATTTATCTTATCTTATCTTAGTTAGAACTGCTGCGATTGCGGCAAAATGAATTTTGTTAAGTTAAGGGCAAGTAGTTCAGTAGATCTTCTGCCTTCCTCAGAAGCGGAATAACCTAACTTAATTGGACAATAAACAATATTTAAGACTCACCAATACTGGTAACTGCTGTAACCGTCCGAAATTGGTGTATAATATTTCTCGGCAAAAAGTATATGTCATTATCACATAGCTGTATGCGAGAGTAACGAATTCCCTCACGGCGCAATTGATTTAGCTTTGCATCCTCAATCCACTGCACACATTGCGATATTGGGGGTTCATGCAAATCGAGCTGTAACATCTCGACCAAGTAGTTGAAGTCTTGAGCAGCAAAGGCCACCACGTCTTTAGTGATACGATTGTTATTATATGGTTGACCACAATGTACCGCTTTTAGTATACCTATAATAAGTTAGGTTATTAGAGGTGCAATAACGAAATAACAATGCAGCATATACTAACCCACAGCAGCAGTGGTATTTCGTTCGTGACCATGCCCAACATGATCTGCATGCGCTTTGGTGCGATCTTCGATCATGGTCTCCCGTGCTTCCGACAAACGTGGAAGATACTGCAGATTGCGTAGCTCATTTATACGTGTACTAAAAGAATAGTTAAACAAATTATATTGTTGCTGGTTGAGATGTTATGGCACAAATTTACCGTTGGCGTTTCATTGGCGTTTTACTATTCAGTTCAGCTGTAGGCACTAATTGCTCTCCCGCGCGCACCCACAATATTGGTCCATCATTAGAAAGGCGAGGATCAGTTTGCAAAATAGAATATGATCCCCAAGGCATGGTCTGAAATAGTTTAAAAATAAATTAGTTTATGAGTTATAATTCAAAAGCAAAGTTGACATTACCTTCTTAAGAAATGGATTCGACTCAATGCGGCCCAACAAGTCGGGAAAATATCCACCCACTTCCTCGTGCACCTTACCAACTAAACTTATTTGGTGTAATGGTCCATAACGAAACGTTCCTTGAGAATAATTTCGCACCACCTATAAAATTAAGCCAAACTATAAAGAAAAGCAATATATGAAAGATTCCTCTTACAAACCTGCTCATTGTATTGCGCCATTGTACAGGTTTCAATATCGGAATTTCTCCCCAGAACACCAGCTTTTACCGTCAACGTTGAGTAATTCTCTGCCATGTGTTCCAATAGATCGGGTAGATAACGTGCGGCGTCATGCACTATTCCCATAACATGCAAGGCATATCCCTGATCATCTTCTGCAAAGCAAACATCGAAAAACTCCTCCACCAACTCCTCCATTTGTTCCGGCGTTAATTGGTTCAATTCGTCCTGATACAAATGTACCACGGAGGCGCCACCATTTGGATGCACTTCCACTTCAAATAATCGTCCATATTTCAAATGTTCTAATCCTTGAGGTGGACGTTCAAGCCGCCTTCGCGGAGTACTTATAGAGAATGGTTCACTCTGCTGAAATTGTGTTCCAATACTGGCACGGCGTATTTTTGAACGTTTGTAGCATTTAGAACAATCGCGGCTGCGCGAAGATGACGATGTCGATGTAGAGGCCGAAGCTGAAGCTGAAGTGGACGAAGATGAGTGCTTCGTAGTTGAGGTTGTTGATGACGTTGAATTTTTGCGATGGTAACTACTACTTGATGAGGAGGATTTCCGTGCACTCGAATTATTTGAACTTACAGCCGATGAATGTGCACTGCTACCAGCTGCTTTTGATATCGGAGTAGTTTTTAATGAATGTGAGATCAAGCTACTATCATTCGTTTTTTCTGCTTTAGACTCTTTTGCTGCAGCACTCGTAACCGGTTCACTGCTAAAATTCAGCTGACGTGAAACATCGTCGCGAGTTTTTACTACAGAACTATAAATGATGTCATCGCCGGCTGAGGCCCCACTCATTGCATTCCCATTATATTCGGTTTTGACTTTTTCTATCACAGTTATATCAGTTTTTAAAGGTGATATTGATTTTTCTGTTTTAATGGTATTGGAATTTATCTCGCCGATACCGTTAGGTAAGTTATGTATAGCAACATCTTCATTCGTAGCAACGAACTCGGAAGAGGTCTTTTTATCGTCCATTACTTCCACATCTTTTTCGGTTTTTATATTATTAGGTATTACATCAATTGTTTTTAATGGGTTAGGTTCATTATCCATGTTCATGTTAAGTGGGAGCCCTTCAGTATATTTATTTTCAGGTTGTTTCATTTCCATTTTTAGTGTATTCCCGATTGGAGGAGTATTTTTCTCTGTTTCAATATGCATTGAATTGTTTTTCTCTGCTTCGATTTTTGTAGATGACAACTTTTCTTGGGGTGTAAGACTAAATTCTTTTCCACCCACGATGCTATTTGTTCGACCGTTCGATTTTGTGCAACTGGTATGACTTCCACGACTACCCTCTGAACTACGCCGCCTATGCTCGTTCAAGGAACTTGTCGAAGATGTTGCTGAGAGTGACTGTCACATTATAAAAATATATGGTAATTAGAAAATTATATAGTTCATATATATTAATATAACAATCTACCTTATCTTTCTCTTTTTCACGTTTAGATGATACACTGGAGGATGTTGTAGGCTTAGGCTTCTCAAGCTTATTGCTACCTTCTTTAATTTTATCACTGTTACTACCGGAAGAATTATGAGATCTCGAATGCGAACTGTGCTCCTTGCTGGAACGTTCTTTGGTGGAGTTTTTATCCCGATTACGTTCTCGTTCCCGATCTCTATCTTTATCACGTATTTTGCCCTTGTTACGGTCTCGGGCCTTATCACGATCCCTATCCCGTTCTCTTTCTCGATCACGATCCCGATTACGTTCTTTATCTTTTTCGCGGTCACGGTCCTTTTCTTTCTTTTTCTTTTTATGATTTTTATCTGTAATAATATATATACATATATATATATAATATAACTATATTATAGTTATATCCAATTAATTTAACTCATGTAAGATTTCAAATTACCTCTTTCAATGCGACTTCTCATATCAACTTCCATGGCGTTTACTGAACCTCCAGTTGGTAGTGGTTGTGTATCGCTTTTTACTGCCATTCGATTTTTTTGCTCTTCCGCTGCACCTTGCACAACATTTTCAACTGTTATATTCTTTACACCATTGTTTGCAATATTTAGCTGACCATTTACAGGTTCTTCCAATTTCACCTGTGTTAATTTTTCTTTGTTTTCCTGTAGCGGCACAGTAATTTTAGCGCCACTTTCAATGTTTTCACATTGCATGGTTATTGCTTTTGCATTTATAGTTTCTATATTTTCCATTTGTTTTTATATTTCTGTAAACGCATTTATAACAAAAGCTGTTTACACTTCCACTGTGTTCATAGGTAAATTCTATAATTTGTAAATATACACGCAAGCCGTACGAGAGTTAAGAACAAAAAATCGATGAGTTTACCGCCACTACGTTTCTTTTTTCTCGGTCCGCTTTTTTCTGCTGCTGCGCTTTTCACTGCGTAGTTTTTCAAAGCGCCAATATCGGGAACTCGGACGTGAGCGTTAACACGACGATATAAAACAATTCTACCCGTTTGACACCTCCGCTTGCCAAATAAAAATGCCACATGCAATACAACCACAGTTCTTTGTAATTACTTGCGCAAAAAATAGATTGAACTAACTACAACATATCTTTGGGATTTTCTCCCCACCAATAATTGCAGCTGAACTTATTTGTTCGAGAATTCTTTAATGCATTTGCGGCTGTTATGGCCCTATGATGCCGTACGTATGCGCTGCGTTGCTATAACTTCTGCTACGACCTCTGCTGCTGCGTTGAATTGTTTTCGTTTTTGTGCCGCTGCTGATTCAGTGGCGCAAAATACTACAACAGTTTATTGCCCCGAGCGATTTGTTTTTTTAGAATTCTTATTATAAAATGATTCTATACACTTTTCACTAAACTCATATGCTAATTTTATATCTTTTACATATTTTTTAAACAATTTTCCACACGTTTTTCGCACATCAACACAATTTCTTGACCACGAACTTACGAAGCAAACTGCGATGTTCGGGTCACGTAGTTGATATGCCCAGGATTGCATTTTTATGAAACCGAATACCCATAAATACTTTAAAACCAGTGGGGAATTTAATTAGATCAGAAATTTTTAAGACATATTATTTATGGTAATTATTTTTTCTAAACTTTTTCTTTCTTTGATTTAAAAATGTGAAGTTAATGTAAAACACTGTGAATAATTTTAAGATGACAATAAACGCTTACCTTTGAAGATATTCTCGACAATACGACATTTGTACAATGTGATTAGATAAATTGGAAAGATTTTAGGGTCAGAAGGAGGAGACACTTTTTCACGGAATGATGTCAAATAATGTATTTTGCTGTCAAAACCATTAAAAAAATAAACGGCATAGAAATTGTTAAAATCACAATACTACTGTGGCAACACTGTAGTGGTGAAAAATTGGAGTATGTAGTGCGATGGGTGCGCGAGAATTCGTAGAAATTATTTAATGTATTTTTATTACAAATTCAATCGAACAAAAGTTGAGATTATTATATTAAGTTAAGAAAAAGTATTTTTATACATTTAAGTTTGATATGTAAGTCGTAACGGTGGATTATACGTCGCATCGATATTTTCTCGGTTAATGAGTTCACCCAACGTCCATCTACATGCGTAAATATGTATGTACTTCTCTCATATCACAACCTTCTTCAAATGTAGCAGCAGTAGCAGTAGCAACACAACAATTTTGCCATTTATAAATATCCATCTTGGGTCGTAGACGGTCGGGCTGCGGATATAGCAAATCAAGAGCAATAAAAAGCAACGTCCAAAAAAATTACTTTCATGGTGTAAGTGTGTTTGTGAGTCTCATTTACAAAAATTTCATCATTCGCGTATTGTTGTTAATTTCTACTTAAACGCCTATTATAAGCAACCAATTGAAATCAATGCTGTATGTTTGTAGTAAGGTGATCGTGGCCGATATCTCCTTAGAAACCAACGTCGGGTCAGTTGATCTTTGAGACCTCCAAGTAAAAATTTGTGTGTCTCTGTCATGCATACCATTCCTTAGTTCCATATAGCAACGCGGTCAACAATTAGTATTTTGTAATTAATGCTGTGCATATACATAATAATGGAACACAAATTGTGAATTAGAAAATATTATAAATACGTGTTGTGACCATTCACTTGTGAACCGGCATAAACAAACTGTGCGGAAACGGATTGCAAGGAGCAATCACAACATGTAGTTGAATTGAAGAAAATGCGTACATATTTGTTCATGTTCCCTTCACGATGATGTAAATGCAACAAGCTATCAGGTGAGTTTTGCATGGCAAGAGGGGTTTTATCGTATACATATGTATGTACATCGATAAGTACATATCTTTATTCTTTCTTGTTTTTTCTAAAATCCAAGTTAAACGAAAATGGCCTTATATGTAGTTGTTTATCTTATCTCCATTAAGAAACATAATTCGACTACTACACCTACATTAGGGTGCTTAAAAAAATTGTTTTTGAATTTTTTTTCAACTCTTACCCCCTCAATGCACTTTTTAATATAAAATAAATGGTTAGAAACGATTTAGTGAAGTGTTAGTGGATATAAAAGATAAAATTATAACCATATAATTCATTATAAATGGGAAAAACACGCATTTTAAATATTTGATTTTTTGAACTTGAAATGCAAATATTACAAAAACCATAAATCAACGGCAACTGTATGTATATATATTCTTGGTCTGGAGGACCTCCTCTATCCGTTCATACCCGTTTTAATCCCGAAGTCCGAGGATGCAACATAACTCTAAGGGACAAAGGAATTTTCGTTCTTTCATTCAAACTAAAATTTCACCAACTAATTTTCGTTTCTTAGAAATATCCATCACATATTCATAAAGTTGGCTTTTCGAACTTTAAATATTCCCGCGACAAAATTATTATTCTCAGAAACTTTTTTTATTGTTATTGAAAAAATTAAAAAATTTCAAATCACTATATTTAATCGTCTAATTGAGATAATCAAACTTTGTCGCAGAAATTTTTAAAGCTTCAAAAGGGAACTTTCTGAATATATGATAGTTATTTTTGAGAAACGAAAATTAATAAAAATGTATGGGAACCTAAGAAAAAAATAGCGAACCCTTAGCGTTATGCTACAGCGCCTGGCTTGAGGGAGGATTTTTTGTTTGTCAATCACTAACATTTAAGGGGGTAAGAGTTGAAAAAAAATTTTTTTGAAGCACCCTAACCTACATACTATGTATACAATTCTGTGTCCACATGCCAAGAGATACTAATCGTTTTAATTTTTAATTACGTTCATACTACTAATGAAAAATTACCTATCCACAATTATTATTCAATAATAACAAAGTTCTTATTTGAAAAAAATCAACCAAAAATGTCGTTTCCTAAAAATCTAAAAGTTGCGAATAGGTATTAAGTCCGAAAAGCACAAATTATATAGATCGTAACTTCTGCTTGATTTTGGGTCTCATTAGCTGTTTTATTTTGTAGGTATCTCCTCTTCTTTATCTTTTGGAGCTTGTTTGCGCCAATTTGCCGCACGTAAAGAAAAAGAAAACATAAGAGACTTCTCACAAAAGATTGAAAACCAGTATTGCAGGCAAGTGAGTGATGAGTGTTTGGTGGCAGTTTTTTTTTTCGGTGATTATCTTTATGAGTTGATGACTGGAAGACGCACATGTAGACATATTTATATACGTATATGAATAAATATTTATCATAAGCCAAATTTTAAAAAATTAGCCAGTAATATGTGCGCGTTGATATTATAAATACTCACATTCAACTGCACATTTAGTAACATAAAACCTTAAGCATATATGTATGTATGGAGGAAAGATGGTGTCGACCTTGTACACCTCTTTTAATTATGATACCTTATACTCAGTTCAGTTATATGAATTTTCATTATATTTCATTGTTTGATATAACAATACAGCAGGGCAGTTTTACATATACTCGTTTATATAGACATCACCACCCATTATGGCCATGAGGATTAGTTAGTTTTACAACTTCCTTTGAGGGAAATTCCGTAAATATTTTCGCAAACGAAAAACTACGTTTATACATTGTTTTAAATGTACACAGAGTTTTAACAATCAATATTTTACATGAATATATCAAATTTACATATCTTCATTCATACAAATCCAATTAGAGCCTGCACTTGTTAGAACCTGGTTAAACTTCTCTTCTTATTTGCAGTAAGCAACTAGTTTTCAACCGTCTGAGCATATTAAATTAAAATTATTTCAATTGTTTCTGTAACGGCATAAAATATTTTCCAAATTATTTTTGAAATGGTGTTGATAAATTTAACTGTGATCAGTCAGGGTTATTATCAAATCAGAACAGATTTGCTAGTTGTCATAACAGCAATCTATTCCCATTTTCAATGGATTTCATGGAACAAAACTAAGAAACTAATAATTTCAGAATTTTTAAAATTTATTTACATTTATACATATGCATACAATATTTTTAAACATAAGTATGCCATTTAGTGTAATTAATAATATTAAAGCCTCATTTGTCAAATGTTGCACTACTGATCTATCTATTAATAATGAAATAAGTTTAGTTTTCATGACAGCGAAAACTACTAAAAATTCTGATTCCAACAATAAACTCATAATATTAGAAACAATTTATAAAAATATGTATTTATGACATTTACAACAACTGTCAGATTCTACGACCCTGAGTGGTTTTGTTAATTCCACAAGAATGAAAGCGGTTATAAGAAACTCAAAATTCTAGAAAACCTTTCTACAAATGATTTCAGATAACAGCTTTCATGTAATATTTAATTTTGATTTATTCTAATTAATATAAGTTGGTATTATTTTATATGAATATATGTATATGCACACGAGTCTATCTTTGACAGCTAATAACCAACTTAAATCTGTAATCTGTATAACAGAATAGGTACATATTATATATTTAACTACCAGAAAGCGGTAGATAGTACAATAAAAGGATCGTAAAAAAATGTTTCCTACAATAAAACTGTTCTTACTTTTTATCTTATAGTACACACTCTTATCAATGCTAAAATTAGTGCTTTTTAGATTTACTAAGTTCATTCTTTGTTGTTATTATTGTTGTAGCGGCAGAAAATTTGTCATAAAATAATTTCGAGTCATGGTGCCGAGTTAACATTCCTTGGCCGGATAAAACGCCGGGGTCTTTACGGTGCTTCGAAAGTAGATCCGACTGTCCTAAATAAATATATAGTGTTTACAAAAAAAAAAAAAAAATAATAATAATAAAATCGGGTCCACCGAGGCAGTAATACCGTTCACAGGTTCAAGTTTCCCCCCTGCCCCCCTGCTCGTTGATGCATGTGCGGCATCTTACCAAAAAGTTGTTCATTACTGCTTGGAGAGTTGAGACAGGAATAGCCGCAATTGTTTCTCGAATGGATTGCCTTAGTTCATTCAAATTTGTTGGTTGAAAAAGTTAGGTGCAGTAAGGTCAGGCGACCTGGGTGGCCAACGGAATGTGGAGTTTCTGCATATCAGATTATTGGGAAATTTTCGCCGCAATTCTGTCATAACAGGTTGGGCTATGTGAGGAGCTGCACCAACTTGCTGAAACCACACAGAGTTGAAAGAAATTCTCGTTCGGCGTAATTCTGGATAGAAAACTTTCTCAACACGCTCAAGTAACGGTCTCCAGTAACCGTAACGTGACCGTTTTCTTCGAGGAAGTACTGGCCGACAATGCAACTGGGAATTTCATAAGATATGATATTCAAAGTAACAGAAGGTTTCAAAAATTGGTTGTGATAAGTCGAAGGATTTAAAATATTATATGATATTACACAAAAATTCCTTTGCTTGATGTCAAATATTGAGGAATTCGCTTTAAATACACAGTACACATAAATGCATACATATGTATGTAAATTTTTGTGAGTATGAATTTTAAATGAACGTGACGAAATGAAGTGAATTGCCGTAACATTTTGATTTAAAGTCTAGGGCAAAATTTTTGCATTCATATAAACTGAATTGCCCTTATTATGCTTGCATTATAAACCCCAAAATATTTTAAATTTTTGTTGAGAACGAATTAAAACGATTACTCATAGTATGGAATTCTATCTTTCATCCGCTTCATACATATGTACGTGCGAATAGAACGTAGACCACGATGTCGCACTGCGACAGAAGGAATGTGCTTACTATGATATGAAAAGCTGTGAATCGTGTTTCACTAGAAGTCAGTAAAATGCACTAAGTACGTTTAGATGTCATAATAGGACAGGCTCGACGTTAATTTTTCGAACACCGGTTGCATCATCTGCGATGGCCTTCAGTGCCTTCATACGAATTGCTTCACATAGACGCCAAGTAGTATTACTTACTACTTATCGACCGCTTAGTAAATTCTGCTATGCATTGAATTCATGGTGAACCACATCACGTCTTCGGTGTTGTTTTTTCGGTTGTACCTCAAGTTTGGCTAAATTGTTGGACAGGTTCGACGTCATATTGTTTATTAACACGTACTCACGTTTTACCTATCTAGGGGAAGGCAGGATTACAAACTCGATTTAGATCTTTTGGTTCGAGCTTAGCTTGAACGATGCATACCCAAAACATTAATCAAAATGTGTTGAGAGAGGTTGAGATCTGCTAACTCTCTGATGCCATAACAACCGTTATCTTATTTCATCTTTTTCACTGTTTCATTAAATTTTTCGATGTTAATGTCTTTAACACATGTGAATAAACGATTCACATATGAGAAGTTTTCGATGACTTCACGGTCTTCGACGAATACTTCAATTCCGAAGCCGTGATTTCATTGGAGCACACACTGGTGCCGTTTTCTTAAAATCAAAGATAATATATATTAAGAGTCGCTTTTTGAAAGCATTGTTATCTCTTTTCCAGTAGTATCCACAAACATTTCCATAAAGTTGGTTTACTTGCAACCGATGAATCTACAAAAAGACTTCCAATTTTTAATAGTTTTGTTCACCGAACGGTTTTCTGAATCACCCAAAAATAATTGAGTTAGATATAGGGATATATGTATATTCTTCTTTATTGGTTTAGTTTACAACAGCGCGCCAATCGTTTTTCCTTCCCGCTGTTTGACGCCAATTGGAGATTCCAAGTTGGAGAATATGATGATAAATAAATCAGAAGATCACGTCAGTRAGGGAAATTCTTTGAGCACCATTAACATGGGAGTGGCCAAATTCCGTTACATTTGGCTCAAGCAGCTCACGACTTCCGTTCTTATACCAAATATCCTCTGCGTAGCC